AGGAGGAGGAAGGAAGAAGATCAATAGGAGGAGGAGTGAAGGAAGAGAGAAGGGGGAAAATTTCAATTACGGTATTCAGTTAACAAGTCTGACACCAATCAAAACCTCAGCTACATATCAGGTCCGTACCAGGTTCTGGTGGCACCTCAGGCTCTGCAGTAACTGGTGTGCAATCCATGTCCACCAGATCACCTCCCATCCAAACCGCTGAATCTCTGTATCGGCCTGGAATCCTGCGTTCCCTCTTTTTCCTCTCTGCTCCCACTAAGATCACTTCTGTTCCAGTCTGAATAACTGTTTTCTTGAAGTCCTGTTATATAACAGATATAACATCATTTGATAGTTATTCAAAGCAGAAAGAGATCCATTTACCTATTCCTATCAAGATACTTTTCATATATTTATTTCATTCAATTAGTTACACCACACTACAAGGATACTTTTACAGTGTCAGTTAGCATGTAATATTGGGCAATCTAATCTAACAATTTACAGTATCAGTAAACCAACCAACCTTTTCCCTGAGAGCAAGGCCTTCCTTCTGCTCCCGGTCCAAGTTGAATATGGAGACAGCATTCATAGTTCGGCCCATCCCTGAGACTGCGTGCTTCCAGCTCTCATCCCGACAGTTGCACTCAAACATGCACTCCACACGGCCACAATGCTCTGGGTCTAACAAGGTCAAGACAAATTCCAAATTAATAACCAAGAATGTAATTGTTAAGAAAAAAGGAAAACAATGTAGCACAAGAGAGCTAAACAAAATGTACACAAGTAATTACTTACCTCTTCTCCTACAGGAGAGAGTATCACATATACAGCCTAGCAAGCAATGCTCATGCGTGCAAGCATCTTTTATCTTACTCTCATCTGCTGCATGATCATCTTCGGTTGTCTGTGGATGGTGAAAGTTACTATTTCATTATGTATTACTCATAATTAAAACTATATAAAATATTCATGTCTTTTCAAAGTTATTATGAAATTATACATATATATATTTCTTTAAAACATATGAGGTGACTGTTTTGAAGGTACCTGTGGCACTAGCCTTAAGGCGATTAGTGTCACCTCCACATTTTTTTGCTAGCAAATTTTAACCAATGGCTAGCAATCCTGAACTTTGTAATTTATTGTCAAATAAAGAATAAGTCCAAACTCTTGCCAGAATATGCAAGAAGGTTTACAGACCATAGGACACATTAAAGTTTCAAGAAAATTTGGATAAAACTCAGGCAATAACAAGATGAAAAAGAAAATATGAATATGAAAGATGTCCTGTTTTGAGAGCCCTGCAGGTACCTTCTAATCATTTATTATGTATAAATATAAACATAAACATAAATATATGTACATAGTGATACTACTAAGCTTACAATATCAAGTCCCCATATTCTTTACAAAAATTGAGAATATCAAAAGTCAAAAATGTATTTCATAAACCTCGCCTGACACATCTTCACCTACTAAACTTACTCAATAATGGGTCTGATGTATATAAATGCAGCACTTACTTCTTCCATTGTGTAATTCACAAAGTTCATATTGAGCCGCTTCATCTCTCTTGACAGCGAGGGGAATCTGTACATATTCTTTTTGAAGGTACGAGTCTTATTATCATTATCCTCAGTAGCACATACTGGCTGTTCTGCTTTTGCTTGTTCACTTGCAATTTTTGAACTCTGAGTTTCGTATTCATCTTTGCTAGTTTCAATCTTCTCTGTTTTTTCTTCTGGTACTGGTATGAGGTTTTTAACTTTCTGCCTATCATCAAGGATCTCTCTTACACTTTTAGGGTCTCGGGCTGACCCTGTATTCTGATTTGGAGCCTGGAGTGAGTCCTTCCTGGAGAAAGCAGCTGGCGTATGTTTATAACTTTCATCCTTTTTAGTCTCACTTATACATGAATCAGTCTTGCCATCTTTATAAGGTATATTCAGAGCACCTGTTCTTATTTTTTTTTCTCCTGCTACTTCATTTTCAACACCATATTCAGAATCACCTGTGGAACATAAATCAAATAATTTATTTTCACTTTCATTATTCTCTGTTGTTTTGTCATTACCCTTTTCATGTTCATATGATTCAGTTTCCTGCTTTGTTGCTTCCATTGTTTTACTGGAATCAAAATCCATAGTCACTCTAGGTTTCAAATCATCTTTATTTTCAATTTCTGTCTTTTTAACGTCTGATTCCTTACTTTTCTTTATATCGGAATCTTCCTCCTCTGACTTGGTCATGGAGTCCTTAACATTTTCTGCTTTGTTGCTCTTATCATCCTCTTTTAGCATTACACTTTCCTTTGCATCTTCCTGAACTAATTTCCCATCTCCTCCAACTAAAAGACTTTCATCCCTTGGTGGCTGATTTTCCTCTTTTTCTTCTTCCTTCTCCTCACTTTCGTCATCAGACATTGCAAGCTTTGCAGCAATGATGTCTAGTATATTTCTTTTTGTCGGTATGACTTTTGTTATTTTGGGAGGCTCCTTTAACTTGTCTTTAACTGTCTGTTTTGGTTCATCAACTTTTGTATCTATTTTTTCCTCAACTAATCCTGGCTTCTCCTCAATTTCTGGCTTTGCTTCATTTTTTTCTTCTGGCATCTTTACATCTTTGCTTTCTGGATTCTGAAGTGCTGATAAAGCAAATTTGGCTAGATCCTCATTAATCTCCACAGCCTGTACCTTCTTTGTCTTGGTTTGCCCAGCATCTCCTTTAACAATGGGTGGCACACCAACTGGCAATATCACTCTGGCACGGACTGAGTCTGAGTTTGATGGGTTAATTTTTGTAAGAGATCCACCAAGTGTGAGAAGCTTCCCTCCATCATAAACATATACAAGCTCTACTGTTTTCTTGTTTTTGGATTCAGACAAAGATGTTCTCTGACTCTTGAAAACACTTGTGAGCGGGACCAACTTTCCAGCCCTCCGAACAAATACATTTGACCCATCTGCTTTCGTTTCTTTACATAACTCTTTGTTATAATAATATTTATATTTTTCTTTTGGATACAAGATATCAATAGCATTAACTTCTTCATAATGTATTTGTTCATGTGACAAAGGTTCCATCTCTCCTGTGGGTAAACTTCCTCCACTGCTGCCTGTATCACTGGGTTGGTTCTCACTTGGCACTGGGTTGGGAAAGCTCACTGGTGGCTCAGCTCGTTTAACATCTTCCAGCAGTTCATCCTCCCCAAGTCTTGTGACTCCCTCTTCTGTTGTCCTTTTTAGTAATATTGGAAAACAATCAATCAATTTTATTAAGTATCTATATATGTGCATGAATATATACATGTATACATTATAACTGATTGTATAAAAAAGTGATCACATATAATGCTCCTTTTATCACTGTTGCTATTAAAAAATATTAGGTTATGTATGAAAGTAAAAAATCAAAGTAGCTAAACATGCATAAACTTTTTTTTTTTTTTTTTTTTTTTTTAACGTTTCCAATTACTTACTTGCATTTTGGTATGGCATAGCTTATATTGAGATGTGCATTGTTGTTCAGGTAAGTGTCCAAATCATTGCTGCAGAACAAGAAAAAAATAGTAATAAATACTGATAGTCTATTCAACCAAGCTCTGTCTTTTTCTGATGGATATAATCACCATTACACAGAACATCTGCACTTCTGTTCCTTACCTTGAAAATGCTCCAGAAATGTTAAAACTGCTACTTTCTTGGGAATGTTCACTAGATATGCAAGGGTCTCCTTTTTCTTCATTTGAATTCTTCACTTCTTCAGTTCCTTTCTTCTTAGCCTTCAATAGCTTCTTTCTCCTCTTCAACTTTCTTTTCAACCATGGACAGTGTCTCTTATCTAATTTTCCCCTCTGTTTCTGTGTATATGTATTCAGCTCCTCCAAGCTATTAAAAGAAACAAAGGAAAAGCCATCTACTATATCGACATGCTCACCCTCAGTACCAACACTACTTTGAACACTGATCTGTTCATCTGGCACCAATGAATACACTGAACTGCTTTGGGGTCATCTAGGCATTCGGGATAAAACATGCAGTTTCTTTCTGAAATGAGAGATAATATAATACTTAATCAAATATATATATAATAAAATATAAACTGCATTAATATTCCTCATTTAGTATACTTTCATATGTTATGCAAAACAATTACTAGTCTCTAATATGCTGTTACACAGAAAATTGTTGGGATAATGGGAAAAACACATATAATAAACATATAAAACTATTATAACAGATAATTTTGTAAAATTGAAATAAAAGCAAATGTACAGGCAGTAACAGTGTCTAAGTACTACATGTATCGCTAATATAAAATACGACTCAACTCACAACCTCAAATTTTACTTAAACAACACTTTAATACATGACAAATATAATTACCAATTCTAACACTAAATATTTCTTACATTTAGAATACCCCAATTTACGCATGTCAGCATAGAGGAACTTGGTTCTGCTCCATATGTCTTTTACAATATTAGACACTTTTGGCACTATCTTTCGTAACCTGACAATTTTTTCATGAGAAACTGCATACTCACAAATTGACCCTCACTGTCATTTGTTGGAGGAGTAATAGTTAACTAACTTAAAGATAGCAGATTTCTTATGCAAAAACTGAAAAATTTTGGTTAGAAAAAAACTATACTATGATCTGGTGTGTACTTTATCTCTAACAGAACATCTTGATGCAATATGCATATGTATCTTTCTTGTAACACTATTTATTATTTTATCTTTTGACGTTAAATTCACTACTGGATACTAATGCCTAATTACCATTATCACTTCTGACTGAGACTGTCATGCCCTTCTCTCTGGATACTGATGGATTTGACCTCAGTTGTTTCTGTGCATCATTGATGATCAAAGTACTGATACTTTAGAAAGAGGTTCTTTAAGAAAAGCCTGAGACCAACACCTCTTTCACTCACTTAACTTCAAGATGCTATGCACCAAGTATGCCTTGTTGTAATTAGTTTCACTTATCTATGACATGGGGATTTAACTGTAACACCGACAGAGAATTGCTGGGAAGAGATTCCTGAGCTCTTGACCAGGAGGATAAGCTCTCTTTGATAAAAGCCCTAGGGGTAAGAAGAGCTAATCTCCTTGAGAGCAGGATTTTTACATACTTGATCACTGATTCAGACTTACTACAACCAACAGCCAAGGAACCTAAATTTCAGTATAATCTGCATTCTAATCATTGAATTTCCCACACAGCCAAAAACTGGCCTGTTTTTGCTGCATAGTAAATGAGAAAATATAATATCTGATAATCTAAACCAATTAAAAGGGATTCCTTTGCTGCTTGTTCCTATCTCACCTTTCACTGGGATGGAGTGCATAAAATTTAAATATGGCTTCTTTAGATATTCAGGATTTTGCTTCCCATATCACTAACTTCAGACTCTTTACTGCCTCTTGGATCTAATTTGGAAGCCATGCTCCTCATCTCTGTAACAATTTTTTCTTTTACAGAAGGGTTTTTTTCATCTGAAACAGCATCTGAACCCTTACTAATGTCTGTTTTCTGTGTTTTTCTGGAACCTTTACTCTTTGATGTTATTGTTTCTGTTTTGACATTTTTTGGTGAACACGAACCTGCCATTTCTGTGGTATCTTTGTCTTCTATACAAGTCATAAGCTCCTCCTTGCTTTCCAGAGAGTTTTCACTGGATGACGAAGCCAACTTGATAAAAGCTCGGGTTTTGGCTTTATCTTCAAGAAAGTTCTGAGACTTGCGACTCTTTGGCATTGCTTTAGGAGGTTTGTCTTCTTGATCAGAATTTGACATGATGACAATTGGTATCTTATCACTTGCCATGTTATCAGGTACCTTCTGCAAAACTGAATCAAGATTCAAGTAATCTACTGATGCTTCACAATCAACTTGAACTGCCTGTGGTGTTTTCACTGGAGAGATTTGTGAGTCATCAATTGAAGATTGGACAATTCATCACTTGAATCTGCAGCTCTCTCTTGTGTTTTCAGCTGGGGGTGGAATTTCGAGTCATCTCCATTGGAGCATCTTTTTTTTTTTTTTCCCTCCTTCCACTGATTCTCTTTTTTTTTTCCTTCTGACCAGAGATTTTTCCTCCAGCCTTTCTATTTTCTGAAGGTCTTAGGATCTGTGTATCTCTATAAATTTTGGTTCAGCCTTTCCGCTTCAACTTCACTGACCTAACGTCCTTGACTGTGGGATGGGAGTAATATCTTTTATGATTCTGGTGTTCTGTTTCTAATACTTTTAATTTTTCCCTTTTATTCTCTTTTTTCTGGACACCTTTGACATCTTTCTTTCCTTTTGATTGAGATGCATTTATTTTTTTACTAATGTCAATAGCTTTAGGATCAGCAGGCACACGTGTCCGTCTCCTGGTAGCAATAGTTTCAGACTCAAGTGTAGGAGGCTCACTGTAATTCTGGGCTCTTCCTCTGCCTTCTTTCAGGAAGAGGATGAGGTCAGGAGGTGAGTCACTTTTGCAGTCCACACCACGTCCTGACTTGGGAGTGGATCTTTTACTACTTATTTCTGGTGTTGAAACTTTGTTTCTTTCCATGGACTTTTGTTGGCATTGTATTTCTTCCCTGGTGTCTAACTTATCAAAATCTTCAAAGCAACTACTGCTGTCAATATCCGATTCATTCTCCACCGAGTTATCTGCACTCTCTGATTTACTAACATTCTTGCTGGTCGAAGGTTCAGTAGTTCTATCTTGCGTTCTTGTACTTTTCAGTACTGGCATTGTTAATTTTTCCTTACATGTATTACCTTTTGTTAAAACACCTGACTTTTCAGTTTCATCTTTATCTTCAGCCTTTACACCAATTTCAATTTTTCCAGAAACTGATACATTAGCTGGCCCAGAATTTTTCTTGGCTTTCATTATTTTCTTGGTTTGAGTATTACCCTTCTTCAAGGGCTTCTCCTTTACACTTTCCTGGTTATTACTGGACACTTTCATATGACCTGGGGAAGAGGAGGTTTCACCCTCCAACTTGGACTTGTGACCTGAACCCCCATCTGACATTCTGACCTCCCTAAGGAGTCTTGGGGTTCTGTGACCAGAGGGCGACCCGGTCACCTTCCGACTCAGGAGCTTGACATATTCACGGATGTTCTCTCTGCTCCTTTCTGTGGATCGCCTCTGCCTTCCAGGGCTTCCATCTGAGCCTGGCTCACTCATTGTACATGTTCTTCCACCTGCAATTACAAAAGGGAAAGTGAAATATTATTGTTCTGGATCTCTTATCTCTTATGAGTTATTTTCATTATGATCTTCAATTTTAGTAAAATTATCATATTTGTAATTTTCAATGTCATTGTAATTACCAGTTCTCAATATTTACTTGGAATGAAATATGAATCAATATATGATAATAATACAAGCTTAATATACTGAAAATAACAAACATGACAAAAACAGCAATGATGATAATGATAAGTCTAGTGATAATGGTAATGATGTGATAATGACAACACCAATATGATGAAAACAATAAAGATGATGACAATGATGATGACTGGGCCAAAGGTCACCCAGCTCTCAATATCTTGTCATGTGCCGTTATATAAGAAAATCCTTTCTCCACCTTCTATGTCACTACTACTATGTATAGGAATAGTAAAGGATGACTGCTGGGCACTCTTAGAATAATTACCTTAGCAGGTTAGTCCTGCAACTGATAAGATCTAGCAATTGTCTCCATAGTTTGAAGAAACTAGGATAAGATGCCTACCACTGCCAAGGGTACCCCAGAACACCCTTATGATCCAGATGACGTTATGGTCCCATCATGGAAAAATCTGGGTCGAGGGCCAGGTGACACCAACATGCCATCATAAGGTAAAATGGCTGTGGGCCGGGTGACACCAACTTGTTGTCATGAGCAAAGGCCAGAGTGACAGAAAAGACTCACTAAGAGTGCAAAAACCTCTTGGAGTGTGATTTGACTCATTTGGCACTTAGGAGGCTTTAGCATTATTCCCATCAATAAACAAATGTCGGATGTAACATACACAAAACAAGACTGGATGAGTGCTGGCTCCAAGGAGGACACCATTTCCATGCTGTACACTGTATTCCTGGCCGGTGTGACTGGCAACACAGGATGTATTACGGAAATTTGAAAATTACATAAAAATCAGATATGTAACATATATGACCAAATATTCTATACTTTTTCTTCTTACACTGAGTTATTTACTACATAGAGAGATGATATGGAGTCTGTGCAAGGAAATTATGGTATTACCATCTGGATAAAGCCAATCAAAAGGCAATTATGGACATTGGAAAATGGCAAAAAAGCTAAAAAAGTTTACATTCTAATGTAAAATGGACATCTAATGCCTAGAATAATATTACATGTGACTCCAGACATGACATCAATTAATTTTTGTGTAAAATGGGGTAACAACTGACAACATAAATATTAATGAATGCCCCCCCCCCCATACACACACACAGGCAAAAGCATAAATCATATTACAGATCCAAAAGAATTCTATTCTAACTCTTTTACCATTATTGTTATTATTGGCAATGTCATCATTGTTGTTGTTGTTGTTATTGTTATTGTTTTTGTCATCATCATCATCATCATCTTTTTTTTCCTTCACGTATATAGACTGTCAGTTTATGCACATTTATTACTTACATGACTAACTGAGGAGTAAGGCTGAGAAGGCAGGTAGGAGGGGAAGGGATAAGAAGGAAGAGAGGTAGAAAGGGAGGGGAAGGGGATTTAAAGAGAAAAAGAAATTGGGAAAGGAGATACTGAGAGGAAATGGAGTGGAACTTCAAGAGGAAAAGGGGATGGGTAAGGGGTGAGAAGGAGGAGGAAGAGATGAGAAGTGGAAGCAGGCATATGTAGGGCTTAGTGAGAGGGGGGGGGGAGTGAATTTAAGGCAGATTTGGGAATGGCAAAAGGATGAAAGAGACAGAGAAGAGTTCCTTTTACCTTTTTCATTCTGCAGAATTTCCACCTCATCATCATCATCATCATTTTTATCATTATTACTATTATTACTATTATCATCATTCTATTTAGAATCATAATCATCATTATAAATTCTATCATTATCATTACTAATATCATTGTCTTTATTACTATTACCATTACTACTACTATTGTTATTAACATTGTTATTTATATCATCATTATCATTATCAAAAGTATGGTGTTACTACTGATGATGATAATAAATGAAAAACTAGTATACAGATGATTTTCTTTACTTTTATTCATATGTCACATATGTATCTCACCAGTGACTAAAACACTTGGTACCTCAAACAAGTCCAATCACTGGCTCCCCTTCACCCAGGTGCCCACCATGAAAAATTTCATGATATGTACATAACACTAATATAAGAAGAAAGTGAGTAAGTGCTAATATTACTAATGTTACTCTTGGGGCCCCACAGGTCCCTTAACCCATGTACGACAGGTGTCCCATATATGAGACACCCGGAAAAATAAACATAGCTGGCATCCCGCTAGTGTGATGTTAGATCAGAGCTCGCACTCTGAATACATCACAGGTTGCGGCCAGCACACGGGCTGCAGCCAGCACACGGGCAGATTCCAGACCGGCCCCAAGCGCCGATTTTGTAGCCGCCAGGAAAATATTATTTTCGGCTTCAAAATAAGTCAGCGTTAGTGGGTTAAGTTGTCTCCTTATATTTCATTATCTTTGAAAAAAAAATATATTGTTATATATATATAAAAAAAGTTTATTGTGCAAAATAATAGTTCAAATTAAACATCAATACAGTCTACAATGACTAGAGAATACATCTCTTGTATAAAGACTGTACTGTCGTCCATCAGGCATTCATGGTAGCAATATTGTTTATCAAGTCATTCAATATGCAATACATAATGAATTTTATTTGATTATTTACTTTAGTCAATTCCACTGCAGGCCTGCCAAAGGTGAAAAATCACCCTCAGTCCATTATCCCTATAGCAATCCATGACCTGATGTCAGA